TAACGTATTTACTTTGTGCTCGTGTAATTAGTGTAGCTGGTTTATCTTTTTGATGTATTATAAAATGCCATATCATCAGGTAAAATTTGCAAGTGGCTTAAATCTTTCTTGATGCTTAAATCGATTGTAGAAAATAATCCTAAATACTTTTTTATTTGTTTTGGTATGGTATTACCTTTACTAACCATTTACACCGTGGAGGAACTGCTTCATACAGTTCCTATACTTCACTGTATCTGTTGCTATTTCATCTCGCGCGGGCTGCAGTTCTTGTATCTTAGCAATACGAGAAGAGGGACCCTTTAATATGTTTTTCTTCTGTTTAATTGTTTAGCATATTGGTCTGTTTGTTATAGTCGCATTTAACATGAATACTGCTACTATTTTTAGCGCATTTCCACAAAAATAAAAAAAATGCGCTATTGTGGCCACTTTGTCCGTCCGTCCGTCCGTCTGTCCGCTCGTTCGTTGAGACCATACTAGTTCTTTATCTTAAGAGCTATTGTTCTACTTTTTTCGATATTTCGTTCGTTATGGTGTCGAGGCTTGCACCACGAAAGTAATTTTTTCTGTGTTTATTGCTAAACAAGTTATTGTAAAAAATCCAACAAACCGTTTTTTACATGTTCCATAATTTTACACTTTTGCCGTTTATTAACGATCCTAGAGATCGTTTATAATTTTATATTGCTGTCTGTCGTCTGTCTGTTGGTCTGTCCGTCTGTTCCTTTGTTTGTCTGTCCCTCTATCTGTCCGTGTGAACGACAACTTTGGTTAGAAATGTCCGATCGCTTTGACATCTTCGTTAGTTATAAACTGAATTGCATGAAATTCAATATGGGCAAAGCTTTAGCCATATAATACGCAATGCCAAAAGTTGAGTCGAATCGATTCAAAATTCACAGTGCCCTTTTCGCATCTCGACCATTTATGAACCGAATTGCAAACTTTTTTATTTATGGAAGCATTTAAATGAAATTTGATACATAGGCGTTTGTAAGAAAGGAAAATCTACCGTTAGTTTCAAAATTTAGATTTGCGCATGCGCAGTTCCAACTTTCTTATTTAGAACAGCATTGAAATGAAATTCTTCTTATAAACTGAAATTGAAGTAGCACATTTGCAACGCTATCTTTCATATTTGTGGCCGGATTTTTACGATTTTAACAGAAGTTGCATCTTACGAATCAGAAATGAATGCAAGTGGAAATGCGCTTTTTGTAAATCGTTTAGGATTACTTCTTAACTTGTTATCTCTACTTTCCGTGTTATATTAATGGCAGCGTTGGCAGAAGTTAGACGGGGTTCTGCTTGTAATTTTTTCCCAGAGCTGCCAACTGTAAGTATAGGATGGGCAAAGCAAAGTAGCCCGGAATGCACTTATTTTTGAGAAATCCTGTATTTCATTAGAGTTGATTATCCTTTTTTTGTCCAATATTTTCCTTTACAACAATTAAATTGCTTTTTGGCTAATAACTTCTTAGCTAGGTATTTCAAAAAATTTGGTTTATTTTGTGAAGGATCAATCGCCCGTTAAAATTGTCAAAAAATCGTTTAAATAACACCTGCACGTCTTTCCCAATCCGCATACGTGATTTTGCACATACACACTATTATGTTTTCTTTAAAAGTGTGTACGGTTAAAACTTCAAGATAATATCTTCAGAAATACGTAATATTTTAGGCAAAGACATTACGTGTGCTTTCATTTGTAGGACGTATGGTTAAAATTTCAAGACATAAGAACGCCCATTACGTTTTCTTGAAAGGTTGTGTTACACAATCTGATTTTTATGAAATGTTGCCTGATTTTTGTTATCCGGTCAAGAATTTCGGTTGGAATCTAGAATTTTCGAAAGCTAATTTCGGATGCGTTATTTTCGTTTGTAACGGGAGCCCGCGCGAACGTTTTAAAGTTTGCACTTTTTTTAGGTGTAGGAGCGTTTCTATGAGATTTGGGTAGATGGAACACTTTTTTATGGTGTTTTTTTCCAATTGAATTTCATTAGGGTAGCGCAGTTTTAGCTATTGAACATTACGATAGGTTGTTCCGTTAGAGAAAATGTGATTTTTTAATTCTTAAAGTCAGTAGATCCCAAGTTAATCGCATGGGAAAAGAGACAGTCTGACGGACGATAACACAAAATTAATGTCGTTTACGTCACCAAAACAGCTGATTCCGATTTGTTGATCGTGATGTCGTGGGCCAGCGTGGGAAGTGCTCAATTTGCAGGTTTTAAACGGCTGTCGGCTTTGATTAATTATTTTTATAGGTGTGTGTATGTAGGCGTAGTCTATTGGTTAATGATTACACATGTAACATTGTAATCTATTATGCCCGTTTTGTAGGCGGTTGTTGGAAAAATTGAGAACAGAAGGATGAAGTAGACAGGGTCTGTTTATAGTGTGGGAGGTTAGGTTCGCATATAGAGTCGGAATTTTCACCTAAATTCAGTACGACAATCGATTTGCCCTGGAATATACTTTATACAAAAACAAAGGTCTGTTATACAAAGATTGGGATTTTGAACTAATCTGAAGGTAGGTACCCCAGAACTGTTCAATGTCTTGCCCCAAACCTTCATAATTTTGTAGTAGTGAGGGATGAGAATGCATTGATCAGTACGTCGGTCGTCGAGACATTGGTTCCAAGCTTCAAAAATGGATGACCGGTTTGCATATGTACCTCTGTTACATTTTGACGCTCAACGGTGGGGCTTTAGGAAGGAACTACATAGTTCCACGTCGCAGGACGAATGGACAAATCCCAAAGTAAAGCATTTTGAACACTTAATCCCAAGTGCGTACGAAGAACCTCTTCATATAAAACTTAAAAATATACAGGGTGAAATACTTCCCGCGAATCTAGAGCTAAAAATAACTGACCCAACACACGTTAGTATAACGTTACACCTCTTTTTAAATGTTGTAGATGTTATCAAGATATTTAGATTATTATCAAGATATAGTTTTAGATCCCTTATAAATAAGGTAAAGTGTTTTTTTTTCTATTTGTGTTCAATACAAAGCGCGTCTTGCAAGAAATTTGACGTTTTGTACGTTTAAATGAAACAATCTTGAAAGACTCCATCCAATCGTTTTGTAGCTGGTGAAACGTTCAAGAGAAATTTTTCATTGTAACCAATATTCGTGTATGAACTCTGGAGAAGGTAGGTAATAGGTTTTCCATTTAAATTCAATATTAAGTACTCGGAAGTCTTCTAACTGAGTTAAATGGTAACGGTTTCATATCCGGGGGGTAGCGTAATTTTCGAAAAAAATGTTCAGAATGTGTAGGAAATGGGCTGTTTTTGAAGAAAATGATAGAATCTTTTTCCGCAAATGACCCATTTTTTCAAAAAAAAAATAACAAGTTAAAAAGTAATCGTAAACGATTTACATAAAGCGCATTTCCACTTGCATTCATTTCCCATTTGTAAGATGCAACTTCTGTTAAAATCGTAAAAATCCGCCCACAAATATGAAAGATAGCGTTGCACATGGGCAATCCATTGTTGACGTGCTACTTCAATTTCAGTTTATGAGAAGAATTTCATTTCAATGCTTTTCTAAATAAGAAAGTTGGAACTGCGCATGCGCAAACCTAAATTTTAAAACTAATGTTAGATTTTCCTTTGTTCCAAGCGCCTAAGTATCAAATTTCACTTAAATAGTTCCATAGATAAAAAAGTTGGCACGGCGCATGCGCAAAATAAAATTTTGAAACTGGCGCTAGATTTTCCTTTATTCCAAGTGCCTATGTATCACATTTCATTTAAATTCTTCCATAAATAAAAAAGCTGGCACTGCGCATGCGCAAAACCAAATTTTGAAATTGGCGTTTGATTTTCCTTTATTCGAAGTGCTTCTGTATCAAATTTCGTTTAAATTCTTCCATAAATAAAAAAGTTGGCACTGCGCATGCGCAAAACCAAATTTTGAAATTGGCGTTTGATTTTCCTTTATTCCAAGTGCCTATGTATCAAATTTCATTCAAATACTTTTATAAGTAAAAAAGTTTGCAATTCGGTTTATAAATGGTCGAGATGCGAAAAGGGCACTGTGAATTTTGAATCGATTCGATTCAACTTTTGGCATTGCGTATTATATGGCTAAATCTATGCCCATATTGAATTTCATGCAATTCAGTTCATAACTAACGGAGATGTAAAAGCGATCGAACATTTCTAAACAAAGTTATCGTTCACACGGACAGATAGATGGACAGACAGACAAAGGAACAGACGGAGAGACCAACCGGCAGGCGACAGATAGCAATGCAAAATTATAAACGATCTCTAGGATCGTTAATAAACGGCAAAAGTGTAAAATTATGGAACATGTAAAAAACGGTTTTTTGTTTTTTTTACAATAACTTTTTTTTGTAAGCGGTACAGAAAAAATTCCTTCCTTGGTACAAGACTCGACACCATAACGAACCAAATAGCAAAAAAAGTAGAACAATAGCTCTTAAGATAAAAAACTAGTAGCGTCGCAAAGTTAGCGGACGGACGGACGGACAAAGTGGCCACAATAGCGCATTTTTTTTTTATTTTTGTGGAAATGCGCTAAAAAAGATTGCAAATGTCGTGGTAGCAGGAAAAAACTTCACCTATTGCGCAATAGGTGGCGGATGCGTTCATTTTTCAAAAATTTTAATGTAAGATGTCTAATTGCGAAATCCTCTTCCCGACCTATAGGCACAGATCAAAGTGAAATATCTTTATTAGCTTAATATAGCTACTTTTGTAATTAATGGCGATATAGGTGATTTCTTAATAAAACTTTTAACCTAAGCAAGTAGGCAACTTCTTAAGCACACCTGTTTTTTACACACATAAAGCGTGGATTTTAAAGGTGAATTTGTACTTGCTCAATGCAAATTTTAGGAGAGGTTTTTAAAAAAACCTTTAACCTAGAGAATGTTCTTGAGAAAACTTCTTTAACCTATTCCGAACACCGCTAATTTGGCTAGGTAAAGTGTGTAATAAATATACATATAACCACACTTATTTTATTAAATAAAAATACATGATAAAGGTAAAAATAAGCATCGCAGCAGTCTGCTACGTACGAGATCGTATGTGCTCGCGTATAAGGTCAAGCAAGGTATCCATCGTTCGATCCGGAACTGGAATGATAAAAACCTTCCCGAGCCTCGGTCATACCCTCCGAAGGTCCACTGGCCTTCGATTCTTCTCCTACGGTTGTACTTCCTCTTGCCGATGTTAGCGGTGACTCCTTCTCCACCTAAAAGAACAGAACGACGTGTTAAATAATGCATACATACCTCTCGACAGAAACTGCTCCAGTCGATGAATGTCCTGGACGAAACGTGCAGCTCTTCCATGATAAAACCTCTTCTTCGGATGGTGAACCATGAGCCAGCACGCAACGAATCAACACCCGGTCAGGACATCCAGATGGGATCCCTCGGCTGTAACAGAGAACGAGCACTTTTTAGTCTTCCTAGTTTTCGATACTTTCACCTGACGCTCGCATCTAAAACGAAGTCGGGTGTCTTCTAGTGCAAGGTAGCAATCCTTCTTACACCTGGGGCAGGCGACGGGTCCGGGAAGCACCAGATGATCCTGCAAAAAAGAAATAAGGTCCCGTTCGAGGTGACATAAATCTGAAAAAGAGGTGTATTATATTTTAAAAAAGCAGAATACTAACGATAAACGAAGCGAAAGTAAAGCGCCTGTTTTCTTCAGCAGGTGCAAACAGAAATGGCGTCTGTAACGCGGTGGCCGCTGGGTAGGAATTGCACCTGCGCACACGAATAATCAGATTATTGATTTATTTACACACAGCGCCACCTTAATTTTTGTAACGGAACATTGTATAAAATTTGTTATTAGCTATTATTTGTTATAAACAATTGCGGTGGGTTTGGTATGGTTTTTTAGTATCGTGGGACCCCCCTCTTGACCCCTGTGAAATTTGATTGAAATCGGTGTTACCCCCCGGATAATAAACTATTACCAGTTAAATATATGAATTTTTAGTTTTCCAGTTGTGTATAAAAAAAGATATTCTGTATTTTTCCATTGTTCATTAGTAAAATAGACATGCGTAAGTTTATCATAATTTTATCGTCACGATTTTTAACGACAAAGTTCATTCCAAATTTTAACAATAGTTCTTTGTGTAAAATTATATTAGCGCGCTGAATCAATTCATCCTTGACCGCGTACCGTGTTTTAATTTCTCCGGCGGAACGCGTTTTAAGGTAGGTTTATAGCTCTCCGTTGATCCGTCAAACAGATAATACGTCTTGTTTTGGTTCATAGCGATCCGTCCACATCGTACGTTTACAAGGTGTAACCATAACCTAAATTAACCTAAATTTTATTTGGTACTACACCCATTACGTAGAAGTAAGAACACTGCTATCTGATTATCAACGTGAAGAACGTAATAGACAAACACTGTCAATGTAACAAACATAACCTCATGCTTATTAAAAACGGACCAACGGAAACGGATAATCTCGAACTGTGAACTACCATTACAGAACAACTCTGAAGGGGGCAACTTTTATCTGTCATAATTTGTAGAAAAAAAAACATTTTATAGCGTCAGTCCTGTAATCTGGCACTTTGATTTCCATCAGTGTAACCTCAAGTTACTACGACTTACTGAATGTAACATAATGTAAATTACGGACTAGAACTGTAACCGTATGAGGACAAAATAGAAAAGATTCGTAAATATTTCGTCGAGCAACAGACAAGATAAGTAAACAGCTCTGCTGGAAAAAAACTTCTAATCGCGCTACCCTATGAATCTAATATTAACATTTTAAATACTCATTTAACGAAGTTAGCTGAGAGACTGTTGACTTTAGTAATCTGGCACGTGCAGGATGCGATTAATCCCCCCCTTCTTATTTTTAATTACTAAAACTTCATTCGGACCATAAAACGTTTTTTAAGAGCTTATATTTTAAAGCAATATCGTTCCGTTTCCTCAGTCTTCGAAGTTATCTGTTAGTTTAATCTAAGATCAAAACTGTGCGCTTGTAAGGATTTCTTTATATGCAAAGCCTGCTGCAACTTGTCTTTGAAAAATGTTGCTTTGAAAAGTTTATTTTTCTACGTAGTGCCCAAGGCGTAGTATAAACCTTATGTTTGTTTCCTCTCTTTTATATTTACAGATCGTATCGATATTCTTGTATATTTTAAATTTCTCGAGACGTTGCAACAAAGGTCCACAATGTGGAAAAGGAATTTTTCTTATAAAGGAGAGACAAATCCCCTATTGACGCTAAGGAAGCTTAGCTTAATATCTAATGTCAACATCGCATCATCGTTCTAGAGCGAACGCTTCTGGTGAATTACCTTTCTAGAACGGTCGCTCTAGTTTTAGTCGAGAATGATAAGTTTCAACGCTCGGGGCGAAAAATATATATAATTTATTTGCGGCGTCAGTGCAATAGTTATAATAACCACCGCAACAAATTTTATATCAATGAAATTCTGCGAAGTAGCCCCTGCAGTTCAATGGAACCGTTGCAGCAGCATGTTTCCATACCACAAATGCGAGGCTTTACGCTGCATAGAAAGCCTGTTACCGTATATGTATATGTATATATTTATTCACCTATGCGGTTACGTATTCTGATTTTTATTACTCAGAATGTCGAAATCCGTGTTGAATTGTAGAAGAAAACGTGGCTTTTTCTCCACAAGTTTGACGTAACATATTATGCTTCCTTTATGCACAATTTGAAAACCAAAATTTAAATATTTAACTCAATTAGAAGACTTCTGGTACTTAATATTGAATTGAAATGGAAGACCTATTACCTTCTCCTAACAGAATTCATACACGAATATTGATTACATTTGAAAATGCCTTTTAAACGTTGGTCTTTTAAGAATGTTTCTAATTACTTCTTTTCTTTTTTAGGGCCTTTCTTAAAATTCTGGTCAAACACCTAAGAAACCTTCCTCGAAGTAGTGGTACTCTTAAAGACTGTCCTAGAATCAGTTATCAAAGACGTCTTAGAATCCTTTTCATAAATTTTGGGTAGTTTCCTTAGGACGATTCGGGAAACTCCTTTGAAATATTAAAAATTTTCATGCAAATATTCAGATTATACCATTGCTACTAAATTTCTCTGTCCATTTTTCCATAAATTTCTTTAACTTAAAACTAGTTTATTAGAAACATCGGTTTGTGCATATGCGCCAAATATCTCTGGATTTACTTTCTCAACGGCATCCACAGAGTGAGCTCATAAAGTGAAAAACAATTGAGCGTTGGAAATTCTCGAAAAACATTTACAGATGGAAGCGCCGGGCCTTCGCAATGTAGTTTCATTTGGAAAGCGGCGATAAAGAACGTACGTGGCGAAAATGCAGTGGAAATAAAAAATGTTTAATTGCGGACGCTTTTAAATAAAATGGCAATCGAACTTGATGGCTTAGATTTAGTAATCCGTTAATGTATTCTGTTAGCGTGGACCATATGTTAACCCCAAAATCCTTTCATTGAGCAAGGTATTTCCGGTCGCTAATGCGGTGCTTCACATTCGCGTGCAGTACTATGATAACACGCACAATGTCTTTGTTCAAGGGAAACCATGTTTCAGTTTCACGAGGTTTATTGCCGTATACCACAAAGACCACCGGATTTGCTCTGGCGTATGCCGCTAGGTGCGCTACGGCCGCGCTGATAAGCCTGATTTAATTTTGTGGCAATCGCTACTGGTCATTGGGAGCTTGATCTAGTTTTACAGTGTTGTTTGTTAGCCATTTCGTTCGACCCTAATGTGTATGTACGGGCTCGGAAAGTGCGACCGCTATCGGTTTCTAGCCAAAGAATATGCCATTTTCGATAATCAGATTCTGCTAATTGCGCCGTAGACGTTTCCGCTGCCGTCAATTTTATTACGAGATTAGAAAAGGGGTCCCCTTTTATCATTTTTTTTCCATCCCCTAACCTCAGAGCTGCCAATTTCCTTTCATGATGTTGGCGTCACATTCTGTAATTAAAACATTCATACGAACTGCATTTGATTAATGAAGCTATGAATTTGCTAGATCCTGATTTATCTATTTAAATACAGATGCGAATTGCTATTTCGATTTGGAAAATTGGATGCATACACAGGTGCAGGTCGTTAAAAAACACGCAATTGAAAAATGTAACAGGATTATAACAGATTATAAGGGAACTATCTTAATTAATCCCCAAGAGTGATAGTTCATTGAAAAAACTACAGTAACGGACAAATTATATCCACAAGCATATCCCCAACCGCCCCCAACCACTCTGTTTTGACAATCGGCCTAATGATTTTCCAATTTCCATAAACATTGGGTTTTTTTAAAATTTTTACATGCAGAGAAGCCTGTGTAAAAAGTGCTCAGACTAGCTGTCAGTCAGCAGTTCTCTTCTGGCCTCGTTAAGGAAAAGGGTAAAGGGATTAATAATCATTTGTATTAACGTATGAAACGGTTCTTAATTTTTGAAAACCGGCAATACTACAACTCGTTAGTTTAATTGTTTATAAATTCCTTTAATATTTGTGCACCAGAAATTCTCTGGTTACTGCTTTCAATGAAAATTCAAATGCACGGACCGACTATAGAATCCTAGTAGGTGTTACGCCGTGGAAATGTTGTTCTTGTTGTCTTCTCGCGAAAGCCTTCGTCCGTTTATCGAATGCTGCTGTCCCACTATTTGCACTCATTTATAGGTCTTGTGTTAATACCCACTAAGCACTTTATCTTACAACGATGAATTATAGAAATACCTACTCTGCGCTATCGTTCCGCTCTCATTCAGCATTTGGTAACGATAGAATATTTAACTCTCTCATTGTGCTCTTATTTTAACCACAATGACCCGTTTGATTTACTCATCCCGAATATACAATAGGTAATGCAGCACATAACTTTATTTATATCTGAAATAAAATTATAATTCTACACCGCGACTTTATATTCCTACTTCTCTTTTAGCTTCCTTACGTTTAAATTATAAGAAGAAGAAAGACACCAATACAAGGTTATCGTTACGTATCTATGGTTAGATTATACATTTTTACTACGTTACAAAATGAACCGTATACGGAGCTGACAAAAGCAAGAATTAATTGTGTTTATCCTTTTTACCTGTTGCCGTTTTATTTATGTTATTAGCACTTCGCATAAACTATGCCCATCACTTTAATTACTGTGGTTTTTAAGGTATCATGCCCTCTAAAAAATAGCACAACGGAAATGTTATGCACCTTGGACCCCAACGCTAGCGTGGCAACAATTTATTTAAGTGCAAAAACAATAAATATGGAAAAAACGAACAAATCTTCGCTCACGCATTAATACGGTAACGCTTCGCAATATTCCCGGATATTTATTACACGAAGGGCGACTCGTAACGCATTTAAAATGCACCCAGCAATAAATTTAATGGAACTTGCGGCACGTTTTTTACTTGAAGCTTTCCGGTAAAGAAACAATTGTTACGCAATCTAAAATGGTTGCGTTTACCTTATATAAGTTTGCCTCGAAGCTCTGGCTCCCATACTCGACCGAATCAATATAACGATTGCTTAAAGCGTGCCAATGCTAAGCGTGAATACGGCAGTTGAGCGAGAAGGGATAATTAAGAGGTAAGCTCTCTCTATCGCGCTTGTGTTTAGTCGCACTGCCACAGCAATGTTGATTGTATTCGACCAACAGAAGCGCGATAGAAATAGTTCGCCTCTTAGTTGTCTCTTCTCTCTCACCTGCAGTATCCGCTCATAGTATTAGCACGCGCAGTCCATTTGTATATGTCCATGGGATACTCAAATCGCCATCTTGATATTGTTACTTCACATCCGGTTTGGACATTCTACGTTACCACTCTACCCTTTTGAAATATGACTTTTTGGTTGAACAGCTTAGATACTCTGACCCCTGGCGAAAAT